TATACTCTGTGTTTTCTCTCCCTAACTGATATGTCCTAATTCAATTTTGAAGTCTAAAACTCTATGTGTTTCATTGCTGTTTTAGTTCATTGATTATGATTTCCAATCCTGTTCCTATTTACTATCTTGTTTGCCCAATATGTAACTAGCATGTCTAAACTACATTGCCTAATTACTGTTTCGCCTAGCATGTTTGAGTTTTATTCTGTTAGAATATGTGATTAGTATGTCTAATCCACAATGATCTGCCTACTGCTTTATCTAGCATGCCTCAAACTATTTTGTTCTATATGTGTCAGCATGTCTATACCAGGAATACTTACGTAGTATTGTCTAGTATGTTCATTTGGATCCCTTCTTATTCTACTTTGCTGATGAGATCATGCTAAGTTGTCTAGTATCAAGTAACTCTGGTTGTGTGCTTAACCTGTCCAGTGTTAATGTGTTTTCCACATGGCTGTTCTATGATCCTTGCTCTATGTCTCTACCACCAATTTTAGAACTGACTTGTTAATCCTATAAAACTCTTGAAAATTTCTGTGCATCCTGTTGTTATATGCTCCACTAAACACTGATGTGTTCTATGTGTCCCCAATTCCCACTACCCCTGTGTGAAAGTTGTTGATTGAGTGATGCTGGACCTATTTGTTCTGTAATCAACTAGGTTGTTTTGCTGATTTTCAAAAGTGTTTTGTACTGTTCTTAAACTGCTTCACTACTAAATTAGTTACTTATTTTCAGGAAAACCTCTTTACTTCTAGAGTCATTTCAGTACTATTTTCTTGAAGAAAAAAAACCTTTCAAAACTATGTCAAGCACTCTCACTTTACTCTTAAGTCCCTAAGTTCTGCCCCTCTGGTGTGTACTGCCTTGGGATCCTCTTGAGATTCCTCCGAACTCTGGCACACTGGGGCTGGCCATTCCACACTGCACTTACTCAACCCCTGTTGTGAAAGTCTGGGTATGAGCACTGCCCGGGATCCTTGAGATCCTTAGGGAACTCTGACACGCCTGGACATGAATTTAGCTATGAAATCCTTGGCATTTGAGACTGCTGAAGGCCTGGTATTCGCAGGTTTGCTTTGGGCCTACTTCAGGCTCCCTATAGTTAATCTATGTTTCATTTGTGTAATTCATTCAATCATTGGTTTGTAAAGAGTGACTAGTGAAAATGGAGGATAGCTATATGATCTTATGGCTAATGCTGGATAGAAACCATGTTTCTAAGCTTTACATTATGCAAATCTTCATTCAACAATCATGTTTCTAAAACTGATGTGTTCATTCGCATTCAAACCATGTTAAACCTGCATTAGATATCCTGTTTTAGGGCTTCACGCTTATTGCCTCATTTAACTACATATCACTATTCCATGCTTTAATTTTGCACAAGTACTTTCACTTAGAGATCTTGCTACTAGGTTAATAATCCTTCCTTTATAAACTGTCATGCATTAGATACCATGTTTCTAGGAACTTTGTTTGCATTCATTTGAACCATGTCTATTTCGATTAAAATAAATAACTATCCATGAAAGGTATAAAAAAAAATAGCCCCACATATAGATGTCATGTTTCTAAACACAAACCGGTGCAAATCACCTGTTAAAAATCTGTGTCACCTATAACAACATGTTTGTAGGTTGAACAATTTCTTAAACTGTTCAAATAGTTCCTGTAATTGTGATTACATATAGTCCCCACGCCTAGGAAAGCCTTAGGTGATTAATGTCCTTATATAAAACTGGAAACTGAATTGTGTATAAACTGCTTAAGTCTTACAGGTTTAAAATCAGTAGGCAAACTGATTAGGACCCTGCCATTGAGTTTTGAAATATTGTTGCAAGATCTATGTACTAATGTTCACCTAGACATCCTGTCCTAGGATTCTTTCTAAAAATTACCTGAATTTGTGTTTGAGACGTGCTGTTTATTTGCCTATATACATGCGGAGGTAAACATGAGCCTTTTAACTGCTTTTTTTCCCTATTTGCTGGTCCTACATGTTATTTGTTTGTCGCCTAGATTTTTGCCTTTTAAATACCATAGGTTTTTCTAGAACTGCCCAGATTTAGAGGTCCTAAGCTCCTCCAGGACCACAAGGAAGGGACGGGTAACAGCACGCTTAGAGTTCGTTAATAAAAACTCGCTCAATAACCACTAAGGGGTGGGATAATAGGTAGTAAAAGGATATGATGACCTATGCGCTAATGCCACGTGTAACCCCTCTATTTGAGGAAGGCTTACCGGGTATTGTACAGATGTGATCCTATAGGCTAACCAACTTAGGACTTCCCTTCCTTAATTTAGGTATGCTCGGACTATTCAATCTTCTTTAATTTAAGTATGCATGCTTAGACTGTCTAAAATTTACATATGTATGCTTGAACCGTCTAAACTTCCTTGATTATATATGTGTGCTTAGACTGTGTAAACTTCCCAAATTTGCAAATGTGTGCTTAGACTATTACCTGTTAAATGACTAATTCATAACTAAGTCGGCCGGGACCCACCACTGTGGACCGCGAGGGGTGCCTAACACCTTCCCCTCAAGGTTATTTTGAGCCCTTACCCAAATCTCTGGTAATGCAAACTGGTTACATGAGTTAATCGCTCTAGGTGCCCTAACGCACCTTAATCCGTTAGGTGGCGATTCTTCAAATACCCAATTCCCAAAAGGAAGCGAGTTGTTTCCCCCATGAATGTCGAAACCTGAACTTCCCCGCAAAAGGGGAAAAAAGGGGGCGCGACAAAAACAATGTTAACTTCTCACATATTGACCTCTCTAACCTAGATAAGCCCTTAAGAAACCATGAGATAAGAAAAGCTGTATTTTCTTTTAAACCTTACAAGGCCCCAGGCCCCGATGGGTTACACCCATTCTTTTTCCAAAAATTTTGGCACATTCTAGGAAGTAAGGTCATCAATCTGTGTCAAAAAAAAAATCCCACCTCAGTTATGCCCCATGATATTGATAAAACTATATTTGCCTAATCCCTAAAATTAACAATGCTACTAGCTTGAAGAATTTTAGGCCAATAAGTCTTTGTAACACGATTTATAAGGTGGTTACTAAAGTCATTGCCAATAGAATCAAGCCTTATCTCAATCACCTCATCAATATACAACAAGCTAGCTTCCTAAGAGATAGAAGAGCTAGTGATAATGCTATTATTATTCGAGAAGTTTTAAACAAGTTTAATTTAGCCAAAGGAAAGGAAAACTTTTTACTAAAGCTTGATTTGGAAAAAGCATTCGACAAATTAGAATGGTCTTATATCTATTGGACGCTTAAATTTTTTAAATTCCCTCCACAAATATCAGCCCTCATCCTTAGATGTATTACCACAAGTACTATTTCTATCTTGGTTAATGGTAACAAAACTAAAGAATTCACTCCCACAAGAGGTATTAGACAAGGGGACCCCATGTTACCCTACATATTCATACTATGCATGGATATACTTTCCAAGAATATTAACAACCAAGTAGATACTAGGAATTGGGTTCCTATTAAGCTTAATCCTAGGTCCCCACCCTTATCTCATTTGTTTTTTGCTGACGACCTAACCCTTATGGGTGAAGCCAACACAACAACATTTACTACTATTTGCAAAAGTATGGAGAGTTTTTGTTACATATCTTGATTGAATATCAACAAATAAAAATCAAAATTGATCATGTCAAAGAGCTGTAGTCAACACAAGAGAGATCTGGCTACTAAGACTTTTGGGATAACCATTAGTAAGACCTTTGGTACATATCTAGGTTTTCCAATGCTAAACAACTACCCTAGGCATAAGGATTATCAGCCCTTACTTGATAAAATGCGAGCTAAATTAAACAATTGGAATGCTAGATGGTTAAGTATGACAGGCAAGTGCACATTAATAGCATCAACCCTAAATAAAATTCCAAATCACCTAATGCAAATAAGTCTTCTACCTACCAGAACCCTAAAAGAAATAGACAAAATCTAAAGAGACTTCCTATGGGGGACTACAAGGGAAAAGAAAAAAATCCACCTAATTGGATGGAACATGGTTACCAATACAAAAACCAATGGTGGATTAGGTATTAAGAAAGCAAAATCAAAAAACATGTCCCTCCTAACCAGCTTGGCATAGAGGATCCTTAATAATCCATCCTCCCTTTGGGCACAAATTCTTATTAGCATTTATGAAAAGAGTAAGAGAATAAATGGTTGTTCAAACACCTGGATAAGTCTCCACAAAGGATGGACTATTTGTAATAAGGGTGTTAGGTGGCCAGTAGGCAGACATTCACATGTGAATGTCTGGGATACAAATTGGATTCCTAATATTATAAGTCCTCATAACAATATTTCAGGCCCATTAACTCTTAATGAAGAGAGCTTAACTATTAAAGATATTTGGGATAATAAGGGTTGGAATTTAAGGAAAATCTCCTTTGATCTCCCTAAAAATATTATAAACAGTATTAATGCTTTAAATCCCAAATGCCACATCAATTCCCCTAACAATCTTATTTGGAGTCTAAATACAAGTGGTATATTCTCAACAACCTCTTGCTACAAGCTAATTGATGAGCAAACACCTCATAGTCTCAATTTTAAGTGGATCTGGGACCTTAAGTTTCCTAACAAGATCAAAATATTTATATGGAAATTCTATCACAATAGACTTCTTACGAGAGGCTACCTTGACAAAATTGGTGTTAATATAAACCCAAACTGCCCAATATGCAAAGATAACACTGAGTCTATATGCCATATCTTCTGGGAATGTACAGTTGCTCAATCATTTTGGCAACCACTGGGAGTGACCATTAACAACCAAGTGCATACTAATAATTGGATTGAATTATTGGGAATTGCTCGCCCTACTATAATAAATAAATACATAACTTGGGATGATATACTACCATTTGCTCTTTGAGCGATTTGGAATAACAGAAACCATAACAATCACAACAATACAAACACCCATATTAACGGAAAAAAGGTGCTTCACCAAACAATGGAATACACTTTTTTAACGTCCAGGGTCAATACTTACAACAAAAAATTAAGCATTAATGTAAAGTGGCGGCCCCCACCAAGGGGTTGGTATAAGATCAATATTGATGGTGCCTTCAGAAGTGACTATCTTGAAGGTGGTATCAGCGGAGTCATTCACGACTATAAGGGCCAATGGCGGACAGGTTACCACAAGAAAATACATGCAATATCACCAATCCAAGCAGAACTTCAAGCATTTTGGCATGCGCTTCAACTAATTATCAGGGAACAAATATTCCCAGTTGAAGTAGAAACTGATGCCACGGAGGTCATACGTTTTCTTCAGGATGATTATCCAACTTACAATAATTTAATTTGTGAATGCAGGTGGTTAATAAACAAGGCATCCGTGCAATGGAAAATCACATTGAAGCATAGCTTCCGCGAAGGGAACATGGTTGCTCATCTTTTGGCAAAAGCAGCACTAATGCAAAGTAGCTATAATAAATTATGTGTCTTAGTTTTGCCACCTGAATTTGTAATAGATGTCTATGACAAAGATCAGAATGGTTATATATATGTTAGAAGTTGCTCTAGGGACCATTGTGGTCATATGGCTGCTTTAGGTAATGACAATGCCTTACATGGCATAATATTAGCCCAAAATGGCATATATAATAATGACAATATTAAGGGTCATGCGCCCTAGTTATTATTAATATAAGTACCTTTTATGTTAAAAAAAATAGTAGATTTCACAAGAAAATTCGGAATGACTTTTTTTAAATTGTTTAATTTAAGCCGTGGAAATGATGAAAGTTCTACAAAAATGGAATGGAAATTACTAAAATGAACAAGGAAAAAATCAGAGTTAAATGATTAAGCATGAGGCTATTTCTTTATGATTTTGAACTTTTCTTGTTCACCACTTGGGAATATTTGAAATATGAGCTTCAATTTTGTCATGATCCAAAATTCAACTATTCGTGATGGCACCTAACTCAACCCGCTAGGTAAGCCAATCAGCCTCTATCCAACTCCAATGAAATTCAATAAGACAATTAAGTAAAAGAAAATATCTGAATCTTATACATTTCCTAAGGACTGGTAGTAGAAATCACGAGCTTGCTAATATTAGAATTTACAGAGCTAGTATGAAATAAATACATCATCTATTCGAAATGTACATAAACAGATCTTTATGAATCTAAGGCTACCATGAATAAGAGACAGCTACAACCGGAGCGCAAGTACGTATTCAAATCCAGCTCTCGTCAAACAAAACAACATAAGCATCCAACATCTGCAAGCAAGGTGCAGAAGTGTAGTATGAGTACTGTCACGACCCAAAATCCATTAAGGGTCGTGATGGCGCCGGACACCGCTGTCAGGCAAGCCAACCAAATACGTAATTAAACTCCAATTTTAACAATTTTGAAAACCAAGATTTTTCCTTCAAATTTTATAAGTAAAAAGATAACTGCTTCAATTCAACTTTAATGCTAGCAATCAATACAAGAATATTTAAAAAAACCATCCCAGAACCCGGTGTCACAAGTGCATGAGCATCTATTGATAAGGAAATAAAATACAATACAACATCCGTCCGGAATACAGTGGACAGAAAGAAAATACAATTTGCTGGAAGGGACTTTACTAGCTGCGGGCCGCCTCGAATAATGCAACTCACCTAGTCCCCGAATCATCTGTGCTGCTATGCCCAGTAGGCTGCTAGAGATAAATATACCTGTGCAACAAAAATGCACAGAAGTGTAGTATGAGTACGTAAACAACGTGTACTCAATGAGCATCCCGTCTAATCTCGAAGAAGTAGAGACGAGATGGTCAACTTCGACACTTACTAGAGGTCAATTGACAATATACTAAAAATGTGAGGAAATCATGGATTTATATAGCAGTCCTAATTCACGAAGCCAGAAAACATGTAAACTCCTTCAACAAATAATCAAGGATTTCAAGGTTACTCTTATTATCTATCAATTTATATCAAGCCACAAAGGGCACAATTCACATTTAAATTTCTCAAGCAACAATATAACATGCGCAAATCACACCGAGGCGACGGCCCGATCCAACAGAAATAAACTGTGCACTTGCCGAAGGTCGACGGCGCGCCTATAGATGCATCTATTTAATCTGTCGAGGCGTTCGACCCGTTCCATAAATAAACACATACCCTGCTCGCGAATCATGCATGCGACGCAGGTACACGTAGAGATACATGCTCAACCAGTCAATTAAGAACTTATCGGGAATATTTATCCAAATAGAACAATTTCTCTTTTTAACAATTCAGGAAAACTGATGTTTTATCTCCTTTTAAATTCATTTACTAATCCAAGGTGATTTAACCAATTCAAGCTATCAATAGGTTCATAAATAATCCAAGTATAACATGATTTTTGGCCCTAACTACCCGAACAATGGCATAATAGTAGCTACGCACGGACTCTCGTCACCTCGTGCGTACGTAGCCCCTGCAAATAGGAGCACATAATCAATTATTTCACCTATGGGGACAATTCCCTCTTACAAGGTTAGAAAGGAGACTCACCTCGCTCCGAAGGTCCAAACCGGCATTCCACTCCCTTCCGAAGACTCTAATTGATGCACCACGCTTCAAAACTAGCCAACGGTTACGCAAATCCATTAATATATGCTCAATTATTCATTACAATCTAATTTATAGAAATTCCTAACTCCGATCGAAAAGTTGACCAAAACGCCCTCGGGCCCACGTGCCCGGAATCCGAAATTTTTCGAAGATAAAGATTACCCATGACCTTAGGAACTCAAATATATAATTTTCACTAAATTCTATGCTCAATATCGTGGTTAAATTCCAAGAATGAAATTTCTAGGTTTTCCACCAAAACCTCAATTTTTCTACATTTTTCCAAGTCTAAATCCATACATAATGGATGTATTTAACTCAATATAGGTAGGAATATCTTACTTTAACGTTGATGACGAAAATCCCCTCTTGAAGCTTTCCAAAATCGCCCATGCCAAGTGAAAAATGAGAGAAGAATTGCCAAAATCCAATTTTTAAAACAATCATTCTGCCCCAGCATTTATCGCACCTGCGGTCCAACGACCGCTTCTGCGGTTCCGCAGGTGCGGTCCAAATACCGCATATGTGGTCCTCCCTGGGCCACCCCAATCTCGCTTCTGCGCACGCTCCGCANCTACTCGACCTTCGCTTCATATACCTGGCCTTTTTAGAAGTTTAAAACTCCGCCTGACACTTTCCGCACGCATTTCTCATCTTTTGCTGCCCGGTTGTTGCCTTAATAAAATCTATCTTCATAGTACTTGAGTCCACAAATCGCTACTAACTTTAAACCTTTCCGAAGGTCATCCTTCTCGAACCGCAAACATTAGAAATACTGATCCAATCCTGAATCACCGCACCCTGCAATATCTGATAGTTGCATCTCCGATACTATTTCGCAATATCTTGCCCCAAAGGCGAATTGTAGAAGATTATAACACCGACACACTTAATACGTTCAATTAGGACAACAGCACCCCAACATAAAAGAAAACTCCACTACGCTTGCAAATACCAAGTCTCATTACTTCCACCAGCCCACATGTGATCATCCTTAGTTCTATTGCCTTTTCCCCTGCCGGGAATAAAATACTGAATCTCTTGGCTATGCACTGAGTAAACCTCCCTTCAAGTCATTCACTGCCCCGACACGTGGGCAACATCCTACCATCATATCACTACTGTGGAACAGTCATTCATAGACATCCTGGCAACTTGTGCCTAGCCCCAAAGCCCTCAGAAGTACCGTTACTGAGCTGAAACATTATAATATCCTTCCATAAGGCGACGATAATAATCAAATCAACTACACCGGGAGAAATATCCCGCACCGCATCCATAGTACCATTAGGCTTCTTCAGTTCTCGATTTATAACAAGCGCTTTGCGTCGCGTAAGGTTGAGTAGGAATGAATCAAAGGCATACGCCTCCAAGGGTCAAATCACACGATAAGGAATCAAGAAGGGAAGTACTCCTAACAGTCCTGCAGCCTCCCGAGGATAAGTACAGACGTCTCCGTACCGATCCACGAGACTATACTAGACTTGCTCATGACTCGTGAGACCCTAGGAACCTAGTGCTCTGATACCATGTTGTCACGACCCAAAATCCATAAAGGGTCGCGATGGCGCCGGACACCGCTGTTAGGCAAGCCAACCAAATACTTAATTAAACTCCAATTTTAACAATTTTGAAAACCAAGATTTTTCCTTTAAATTTCATAAGTAAAAAGATAACTGCTTCAATTCAACTTAAATGCTAGCAATCAATACAAGAATACTTTAAAAAAACCATCCCAGAACCCGGTGTCACAAGTGCATGAGCATCTATTGATAAGGAAATAAAATACAATACAACATCCGTCCGGAATACAGTGGACAGAAAGAAAATACAATTTGCTGGAAGGGACTTTACTAGGTGCGGGCCGCCTCGAATAATGCAACTCACCTAGTCCCCGAATCATCCGTGCTGCTATGCCGAGTGGGCTGCTAGAGATAAATATACCTGTGCAACAAAAATGCACAGAAGTGTAGTATGAGTATGTAAACAACGTGTACTCAATGAGTATCCCGTCTAATCTCGAAGAGGTAGAGACGAGATGGTCAACTTCGACACTTACTAGAGGTCAATTGACAATATACTAAAAATGTGAGGAAATCATGGATTTATATAGCAGTCCTTATTCACGAAGCCAGAAAACAGGTAAACTCCTTCAACAAATAATCAAGAATTTCCAAGGTTTACTCTTTATTATCTTATCAATTTATATCAAGCCACAAAGGGCACAATTCACATTTAAATTTCTCAAGCAACAATATAACATGCGCAAATCACACCGAGGCGACGGCCCGATCCAACAGAAATAAACTGTGCACTTGCCGAGGGTCGACGGCGCGCCTATAGATGCATCTATTTAATCTGCCGAGGCGTTCGGCCCGTTCCATAAATAAACACATACCCTGCTCGCGAATCATGCATCGACGCAGGTACACGTAGACATACATGCTCAACCAGTCAATTAAGAACTTATCGGGAATATTTATCCAAATTAAATAATTTCTCTTTTTAACAATTCAGGAAAAATGATGTTTAATCTCCTTTCAAATTCATTTACTAATCCAAGGTGATTTAAGCAATTGAAGCTATCAATAGGTTCATAAATAATCCAAGTATAACATGCTTTTGGGCCCTAACTACCTGGACAATGGCATAATAGTAGCTACGCACGGACTCTCGTCACCTCGTGCGTACGTAGCCCCCGCAAATAGGAGCACATAATCAATTATTTCACCTATGGGGACCATTCCCTCTTACAAGGTTAGAAAGGAGATTCACCTCGCTCCGTAGATCCATAACCGGCATTCCACGCCCTTTCGAAGACTCAAATCGATGCAAAAATGCTCCAAAACTAGCCAATAATTATATAAATCCATTAATATATGTTCAATTACTCATTATAGTCTAATTTGTAACAATTCCTAACCCCGAACGAAAAGTTGACAAAATTGCCCTCGGGCCCACGTGTCCGGATTCCAGAATTTTCCAAAGATAAAGTTTACCCATGACCTTACGAACTCAAATATATAATTTATTCTCAATTCCATGCCCAAAATCGTAGTCAAAATCCAAAAATA